TACTACTCAGCTATTAAGAACGAGGACATCATGAGTTTGGCAGGCAAAAGGATGGAACTAGAAAATATCATCCCGAGTGAGGTAACTCCGACCCAAAAGAATATGATTGGTATGAACTCACTAATAAGTGGATATTAGCCAAAAAAGTACAGAATTCCCAGGACAGAATCCACAGAACTCAGAGATTAACCAGCTGAAGGCTCCAAGTGAGAATTCCTCTGTAGCGAGAGATTTTTTAAAAAGGTGGTTGTGCAGCTTGGCTAGCTCCAGGGCTGCTGCCTTGTTCCTGCTCTATGTTCCCTCTCTAACAGCAGCACCTGGCTAGTGAGGAGTACCAACCCAGGCCCCACAAAAAGTTGACTTGGTTGCTGCCTTCGTTAATCATCTCCATGGAGTCCATGCCCCAAAACTCAGGGAATAACTGCCACCCCCTTAAGGTAGATACAACAATTCCAGTTCCCGGTAGAAATAAGACTCTTAATGCTTAAAAGTCTTATTTATTTGCTTAATGTATTAGCAAATAACCTATACACAAGATGCCTACACAATTAGAATTGTAAACAGAATTACCTAATCAAGATATGATTCACTGCTAGAGACATCTGCCATCTTGCCTCTCCTCCTCCTTCTCCTTCCTCTTTCTTTCCTTTCTCCTTCCAACTCCTAGCTCTATCTACTTCTTCTACTGTCCAATCACTGAGCTCCACTAAAAATACAATGGGCAGGAAAAAGTCCTGCCACATGCCTCAGTCTCACTTGGGAGGGAGAAGTAACAAACACAGAAGGGTGGGGAGAGAAAGAGGGACCTGGGTGGGGAAGAGGGGAAAATGATCAGGTATTAGGGCAGTAGGAACAGGACTGGAGACCCGAGGGCCAGCAGAAAGAATGGAAAGAGGAAACCTCTGGAGGTTGGAAGTGGCAGAGCACCCTCTAGAATGTACCAGAGACCTGGGAGGTTAGAGACTCTAAGGATCTTAGATGAAATGTCCTACAGTGGGGAGAGGGAACTTGTAGAGCCCACCTCCAGTAAAAGGACAAGGCATCCAGTGGAGGGATGGGCTTGTAATCCCACTGTCAAAAATCTCTTTACCAGAATTGTTCCTGTCTGAAAGAACTGCAGGAACAAAAATGCTATGGTGTGCTTACAAAGAGGGACCTATCATGATTTACCTCTGAAAGGTCCAACAGGCAGCTGAAAGAGTCAGATAGTTATTTACACCCAACCAATGGGCAGAAGCTGATGACCCCTGTGGTTGAATTAGGGAAAAGGTGGAAGAAGCTGAGGAGGAGGGTCACCCTATAGGAAGACCAGCAGTCTCAACTAACCTGGACCCCCGGGATCTCTGACACTGAGCCACTAACCAGGCAGTATACCCCAGTTGATATGAGGCCCCCAATACATATGCAACAGAGGACTGCCTGGTTTGGACTCAGTCAGAGAAGATGCACATAACCCTTGAGAGATTGGGGCCCTGGCCCCAGGAAGTGGGGAGGTCTGGTAGGGTGGAGACATCCTCTTAGAGACGAGTGGGGGGAGGATTGGATTGGAACAGTTGGAGGATGGACCAGGAGTGGTATAAAGTCTAGACTGTAAAAATTTATTTAAGAATAAAAAAATTATGTCTATTTTCACAATATTAATTTTCCTAACTCATGAACTTTGAGGACATTCCATTTTTTATTATTTTCCTTCCTTTCTTCTCTAGTTTTTGGCATTTTTCCTAGTGTTCTGTGTACCTGACCTACTGTGGATGGTGTAAAAATTACACTTTTACTTTCATAAGTTTTTCCTTGGTTCTTTTTTGTTTTGGTTTACTTGTTAATGTTGGTGTTTTCTGATATTTTTCTTAGTATGCTCATTTTTGGTTCTAGGAAAGTCATTAATCTTCATATGCCAAGTTTCTATCCTACCACCATGCCAAAGGTATTTATAATGATAATCTCTTAAGACATCTGAGTGAGTTTTCTGGGCAGATTAAGTATAGTATCTTTTCATCTTTAAATAAATGAGTTTCCCTTCTTCCTATGTCTAATTTTTCTATTTTTTTCCTTATCCAACATGAGAGCTCTGTTGAGTAAATGTGCAGAGAGTTGATACTCACTTTGCATTCTAAACTGTATAGGAAAGGCTTTCAGATTGCTCTTGTTTACATCAGTCCTTCCTGTAGCCATGGCTTATTGCCTCTATTATATTTGAGTGGACTCTTCTGATACATTTTTGAAGTTTAACTAGATTAGCTGTTTAATTTTCCATAACAGTTTTTTAATTAAATTGTTTATTTACATTTCAAACATCCTTTTCTGGATCCCTCCAAGAGTTCCTACCTCAATACCCCCCATCCCTTTGCTTCTGAGAGGGTGCTCACCACATACCCTGAATTCACCCCCTCCCAGCATCTCCATTTCCTTGGGTATCAAGTCTTTATAGGATTAGGCACATCCTCTCCCACTGAGGCCAGAAAAGCAGTGTACTGCTGCATATTTGCCTGGGCCATGGAAGAGTCAATGTATGCTCCTTGATTGGTGGCTTAGTCTATGGGAGGTCCGTGTGGTCCTGCTTAGTTGACACTGTTGATCTAATACTTTTTATAACAGTTGAGATGATTATGTAATTTCTTTGGTCTTTGATATATTTATGCACTTACTAAACATTACTGGCATAAACAATTTTATATTTAAATACCCCAATAGTTAAAAAGGTTTTCTTCTTTTATATCTCATGATATATTTTCTTATTTCAGTATTAAAACCTTATTTTTTAATATTTGAATATTTTGGACAGTTAGGGATAGGTGATGAGCAGTAATGATAATGAGCACCTGTTGTTCTTTCAGAGGACCTGGGTTGGGGTCGCAGTACTCACTTGGTGGCTCACAACTATCTGTACCTACAAGTCCAGGGTGTGTGTGACAGCCTCTCCTGAACTCTGCGTATTGTGTGCGACATACATGCAGGCAAAACACTCATATACATCAAACAAATAAATGTAACAAGTTTTTACAAATACAATAATTATTTAAAATAAACACATATTCTTCCTGGTAAATCCAGCATTCTGATAATAACCAAAGCACTTAGATTTCAACTAAATTTATGTGTTAAATTGGGAAGCATTATTAGCTTTGCATGAAAGAAAGCAGCATGGTATGATGCTTATTCTATTCTTTTTGATGTTGTTCAAAGAAGGTTTATTATAGATTTTATTCAATATGTATCAGAAAACTAGTATACGTGAGTTTCAAACAGTTGGCTGAGTGTTGTATAATGGAATCATAAGCTTTTAGTTTTCAAACTGCTCATTTCTACCATGAGGAAAATACTTTGATTTCAAAATATAGCTAGTATATGTGATCACCCAGTCAAAATTTTTGCTTAGATTTAATAGTTAAAATATTTGCATTTAGTTGAGGCCTCAGTTCTCTAGGTGTACAAATACACATAGTATGTGTCACATGTAATATGTTATTAAAAACATATAAGTGGATTCAAAGTGCTAAGAAACGGAAAACCTATAGATATTCCAAGCAACAGGGAGCCAGTGACAGTGATCATCTATGTATTCTCAAGGGTTTGGGGGATTAAGGTGAGGCTGCTCAGCTTAGAGTGACCTTGAAGTCTTTCAAAAGGAAAGGTAGGGTGTTCTTAGTTACAGAGCTCCTGCTTGGCATGCAGAAGGCCCTAGGTTCAATCCAAAGCACTACAATAAATAAATAAAAATGAACAGATAATAACAACAAAGAAATGTGTAGCTGTTATGGATGGTACATATTAACATATGACAATCAGATACTGGAAATAAGATTGGGACTACATGTGATTGTGGGTGGATATCTACATTTCTGAATAACACCCTTAAATGAAGAGCATTGTCTCACCGGTGAATAGCACTGTGAACATTTCCACAGTTTATGAAAGGAAGTCTAATAAAGTCTTCATTCATTGTAGGAAAAAGAGCTCCTCCAGAACAAGCTGAAGTAGAAGCCAGCATCTTTCCTACAATAACTGTTTAGTGAAGGTTTTAGTTCATAATAAGGATGTATTAATTTGTATTTTATGTGTGGGAGTAGATTTGCAGCATATATATGTGTTTGCATGATGTGTGTGAAGGGGTGGAGCATTGAATCCTTTGAACCAGACAGATGACTGCTAGCCACTATGTGGTTACTGGAAACAAACCCCGTTCCCTGCAAGAACATCTAGTGGGGCATAATCATAACCTCTGGTGGGGCATCTCTCTGTCTTCCAGCTAAGATTTTCCATGAGTGTGGATCTGAAAATATTAGTAATAAGCTATTCACTGACTTCTGAAATCTTATCAATAAATGATTAAAACAAACAAACAAACATACATACAAACAAACAACTCTTGGTTAGTTTAAAAATTATTCTGTTCGGCTCAGCATTCAAAAAGAGAAGAGATACTGATAGCTCCTAGACACTGTGAGACAGAAAGGTAGCAAACCCCAGTACAGGGTCTTTCATATCTCCTCCTACCTTGCCACCTACTAAGCTTTGTGAAAATCAAATGAAACCAGGAGAAAGAATGCAAATGAATCCTGTAGGAAAACTGGAAAGATCATGGAAGTTGCAAGTACACTTAGCATAATGGGCCTGAAGGAAGGGCTTCCAGATGTCATGTGACCTCAAGGGTCAGATGCCTTAAACAAGAAAAGTAGTGCAACCTAAAGAGCGAAGTTTCTTGCTACAGAGGTCCAGGTGTAAGATTACAGGAGCCAGAAAAAGAAACCTGTCTTGGTTTTCCAGAGGCACAGATTAAAGGGGAAATCTTTAAATAGGAACAAGCAGGCCTGTCTCCTGTCTGAGTCATGTCACTGAAAATGGAAGTAGGGAAGTGAGGCTCTGATGGGAGGAAAGACCAAACAGTAGCACTGAATGCTGACAACTGGCTCATGTCAGCAAAGCACTTAAAATTCTACCAACAAATTATGATTTATTTATAAAAGCTCCTAACTGAAATTTTCTATCTTTCTCTGTACAAGTGGACATATTCAGAGGTTTCGAATATTGCAGCGTCGTTGGTGGAAATCTTTTTTTACTGTTGCTGTGTTAGCATTTAGTACAACTTTACCGCTGTTCTGTTTTCCATCTAGTTTACCTGGTGAGTATAAAATAGAATATAATTAGTCATAGTATCTTTTACCCTCTGCTTCCTCTCTCAAAGCACAAACAAGCTAATTTCAAAATGAGTATGCTTTCCTACTTGTATTGCTCTGTGGCAAAGGAATATTATCTTCATTTTGTAGGTTTTTTTTTAATCAAATTAAGCAGGATCACATCCAACTATTATATTAATGAGCTATATTTTTATTCATATATGTGTGTATTGCCCGTTATTTCTTTTTAATAATAACATTTCATTTAAAGTGCATAGGTGCGTTTAAATATGAAAGTACACTAAAATCTATTCAGTCATTGTTAATCAGTTTTTATATTGTAATAGAACTTATTCTAATGACTTACAAGCTCAGGTGCAGCTAATCCAACAGAGTCTGTCTATGAAAGGAAGGTCAGTAGTTGCTCAGTCCATGAGTCTAAATGCCTCAGCTGCTTTTCCATACATATTGACATGACAAAGACATAGGCTCTAATGCCAGTGATAGAATGAACTTGCTGGTGATGAAGGCAAGAGCAAGCAGGGAAAAAAGGAAAAGTGATCGGGAAAGTCTGAACGTTCAGGTTCAGTTCTTAATGTAATGAAATAAACAAAAATGAAGGATGAGAGTACAATACATATAAACATTGGGGAAACAGCAGAAACAGTTCTGTAAAGGAAATCTCATCAGTAACAGAGCCTAGGTTGGAACCCCCTGCTTTTTTGGGGACATGATTTACTGTGTAGCCCTGGCTGTGTTGGAACTCACTCCATAGATCATGCTGTTCTTAAAATCATGTGTCTCTCTTTTCCAATTGCAGTAATTTAAGGTGTCTACCACCAACATCTGTCTAAATAATCAGTTTTGAAAAAAATACAAATAGACAATGAATATTTGAAGAATACTTGGTATTTTTTGCCATTATGAAAATGCAAATTTAACTTGCATTGAAATTTCTTCTCAATGTGGTCAGAACAATTATCCTCAAGAGAATGAATGCTTATGAGAATGTGAGGAAAGAAAAACCTTTATCACTTCTAAATTTACTCTGGAGGTTTCTAAAAAAAAAAAAAAAAACAGAAAATATGGGGCTGGAGAAATGTTTTAGCAGTTGAGAATGCGTACCACTCTTGTAGAGAACCTGAGTTTGGTCACAACTATCTGTACCTGTGGGCTACACAGAAAATTTCTTATGTGCACATATTTTTCTCACACACAAATTTATACATATTTACAAATCTTTTATAAAAAACTGAAAATAGAACTGTGATATAACCTAATTTCATCACTTTCCCGTATGTATGCCTTAGTAGCTGTGTATCTTTCCTCACTATATACAATAGCTAGAAGATGGAACTAATCTAGATATTTTTAAACAGTTTAATGGGATAAAGAAAACATAGTATCTATGCACAGTGGAATTTTATTCAGCTGTAAAGATAAATAACATCATTAGAGAGTCAGGAATTCTTATGTTAAGTCAACCACTGAAACTCAGAAAGTCTAATACCAAATGTTTTTTCTTCCATAAATGGGACACAAATATAAAAAAAAATACATGTATCTACAGATGCTTGTGAGGGTATGTGTGAAGGTGTATTGTGGGTGTGACAACTAGAGAAGTGATGAAGTGAGGATCTGAAGAGAGCATAAGGGAAGTTGGATATACAACAATGAAATACAGATAATACAAGAGCAGAATGTGAGACTTACAGGGAGAAGAATCAACAGGGTGGGTGGTCATTACATGTGGGAGAGCAATAAAAGAAAATAGAGTATGATGACATATACACATGAAAAGACAGTTATGAAGCCAACTACTTTATATGCTAACGTAAAGTATTTAAAGTCAGTGTTTAACAACTGGGATCTCTCACCACCCAGAGTAGCTGTCATTAAGGAAGTGCTAATGAGACATCATCCAACAAAAATGAAACCTTCAATACTTTTACTGCACTTTTCACAAAAACCATGGTTTAAAGCCTGGCTAGAAATACAACCACAAATTACTGGATCACCCAGGACACTTTACTCAGATATAAAGAATAGTCATAACACTTTCAGGAAAGAGGCTGTGATGGAAGGTACATGTAGGATATGAAGGGACAAAAGGGGCTGCATGAGAAGAAAAGATAAAGGAGTTAGGAGATGGCAATGAGTAAGATCATGTCAAATCAGAAAGTGTGATGATATGTATACAAGAATGGAATTGTTATATTTATTAATATTTTTACATTATTACTATGTATTCTTGCACAAACTTCAAACTTGGTCCTATAAAATATTTCGTGATACATAAAAGTCATTTTTGGAGAGGCTATTTTTGAGCTGTTTCATCATATGTTAATTATTAAATATGGCTATTGAATTCTCCATTAAATTATAAATTAATTCAGCCATAGATACCACACTTTCGACAGTTAATAGACATATACAGTGGCTAAATGCAAATATAAACATTTTTCATTATTAAAGAATTGTGTTTTGTAAAGCACTACTGTTGTTGAAAATTTTGCATTCTAAAACACACATTAGCTTTAGTGTGCTTAATATAACTCACTTGCCATTCCATGACAAACGTGATTATTATAATCTGGACAAATGTATGATGTATATTTTCATATATACTGACTTTGAGATAAAATTATTTTTCTTGTGACCTATAGGTGCACAAAAGTTAAGACTTGAAAAAAGAAATGAACCTCCCACCATTGACAGGAGACTTAAAAATAAGGAAATTAAGCCTAATTTGAAGGGTATTCTTCATGCTATTTGGGTAAAGTAAAATATTTCTGTTAACAAGCCAGTTAAATTGACCTGTGCAATTTTCTTATATAGTTACGAATATGACAAAGTGTTTAACTTAAATTTGCATGAAAGACTTGGAGACTCTTAGATAATTACTAAATTACACATTTTCTTTTTAATGGAAAAAAATAGCTCCCTTATTTGATATCACTAAAGACAGGTGGTGTAGTGTTTGAGGACAATGATTCACCAGCTAATAATTTTGATTTGTTTTTCATTGATTTGATGCAATTTTGTGTTTATTCTCTCTGAAGAAATAAAGATGACATTTAACAAAATTTCATGAATTGGAAGAACTGTATGTGAACACACAGACTCCCACCATCACAAATAATATCACAATATTTAAACTAAAATCCTTTATTTCTGTGTATGATAAATAGGTCTATCATAGTAATGTCAGAGATAGGTATGCATCTGGAATCCTTTCCAATGCTTTGGTACTGTTCTGAATACTTTTTTTCTACTTATAACATTCTTTCTGACAAATAGATTGTATGTTTGTAATTTTCATGGACATCTTAATTCATACTTAGTGAATATTACACTGTGAATAACACTTCCAAGAGTCTTGAGCCAATTGAATTTTCCTAATTCACATTAGAATTTGCGTTCTCACATTGCATATCTTCCAATTTTTTTGTCATTTTCTTATTCCTAGAGATACTTATTCTTTCATTGTTCATTTTTCTACTCAAAGCATCCTATTTCTTTTTAGAAAATGCTTTCTTTTATAGTTAAAATATACTATGACTCTTCTCTCTTTCTTTTTCATCCCTCTTTCTATTTCCATATATATCAAATCCCTTTCTCAAACTGTAGACAAGTAACTACAGCAACACACACACACACACACACATACACACACACACACACACACACACAGAGAGAGAGAGAGAGAGAGAGAGAGAGAGAGAGAGAGAGAGAGAGAGAGAGAAATAACCTTGACCATATTCCATTCAAACTATTAGTTAAGCCATTTCTGTTGCCTCTAGTCCCTTCCTTGATACATAACATCTCATGATATAAGGACTGTGGTGTGTTTGTCTTTACTCAAAAGTGAATCTCTGCATACAAGTAAATACATACCATATTTATCGTTCTGGGACTTAGTTACCTCACTAAGAATAATGGTTTTCTAGTGCTTCCCATTTGCTTGAAAATTCTATGACATCATTATTTTTATTAGCTGAGGAACACTCAATTTTGTAAATGTACCACATATCTCTTATCCGTTCTTCTGTTGAAAAACATTGCATCTAGGAATCAGTAGAGATACTGAAGAAAAGTCACCTCCTTCTGCTATAGTGTTTGAGATGATGCTGGGGGATTAGGTCTGTTTTTGTTTTAGGGAATTCTCAGTACAGTTCCCTAGACCATTTGTTAAGTGGGTTGTTTGTCTTCATTAGGTTAATTTTGTTCTTTGTATATCTTCATCTATCACATATACTTTAGAGCCTTTTTTATCATTTCATATGATATCAGTTCATTCTATTAACTGTGTTCTTTGCAGAAAAGAAGGATTTCATCCCGTATATCCCACATCTTCATTGTTTACATTATTTCTCAAGTCACTGAAATCATATTTAGAAATCCCTTTCCTTATCTTTCAATATATTTCTTATTTTGTCCTCTAGTAATTTCAGAGATTCAGGTTTAATACTGGAGTAGGTCATTGATCCATTTGTAATTTTTTGTGTAGGGTGAGAGACAAGATCAAACTTTATTCTTATGCCTACAGATGTCCAGTTTTTCCAGCAACATTTGCTGAAGATACTACCTTGTCCAATTTGTATTTTGGGGCTCATTTGTCAAAACCACAGTGGCTCTAGTTGCATGGAATTTTATCTGGTCTTCTACTACATTTATTATTAGGTCTATTTTTGAGCCAATAGCATATTCTGATATTAATAAAAATATTTTATTACATTTTATATTTAAATTATATTTATAAAATATCTTTTTATTAATGTTCTGTAGAATAACTTGAAATCATATACAGTGATACCTCTAGCAGTATTCTTATTGTCCAGATTAGTTTTGGTTCTCCTTGGTGTTTTGTACTTCCAGGTGAATTCTGAGATTTTTTGATTGTTCCTGTGAAGAACTGAGCTAGCTTTTCTTGTGTGAACTGAACTGGTGGTCAGGGTTGGTGTGAGCAGGAGGTAGGGCCAGAGCACTGACTGCCTTCATGATACAGTTTTTCCTAAGAGTTGAGTCTTTTTTAGAACTAAGTGGATTGTCTATATAGGATTTTCATCTCTTTCTATTATCTAAGGCCTTTTTTAAATGAAATCATGAATTCATTGCAATAACTGATTACATTTCATAAAGAATTTAATTGCTTTTTAAATGTTGCATTATATTGCTCAGGTGACACTTGAATATTTAACCATTATTTGGCCTCAAGAGTTCTAGGATTTCACGTATGTGCACAATAGCTGGCCTATTTAATATTCATCCTACACAAATATTACATACACTTATTAATTAGCAATGAAGAATCTAATCAACACTAATTAGTTACCAATATTTTGTAAAGTTTAAGAATGGGCCATTTAAAGTTTGTATTATTTTAAATTCTTTGAATAAAGTGAATTAACTGCCTAAATTATTATGGTTCATTGTGATATCTTACTGAAGATAGCAGAAATTGACAGTATGATGATAGTTAGTGCCCCTTATCCTACCGTTAGGCCATACATTTTTATAGTTTTTAAGATACTCCTTTTAGTTACACAATAGATGATTGAGGACCATGGGCATTGCACTATGTAAATCCCAAAAGATTGTTCCTTGCATGATTTTCTGCACCTTTTATCCTTCCCCAATTTTCCTTCTCCAACTTTATTATAACCAGTGATATATATGTACATAATCTGTTTTCTTAGCTCCTGGATACTGCAGAGATAATTTTGTATTTGTCTCTCTCTTTAATGCGTCAAAATTAATGTATGTTGATCATGTATATATAATCATTTACAAATTATGAGATTTCCTTCTTTATAGGTAATAATACTCTATAACATATATGCATACATTTATGTGTATATATATACACACATATACATATAAATGCACATGTGCACACACATACATATATACATGTATGTATACTTATAACAACTTATTTGTATTTATTTATTGTTTAATAATTACCTTATTAATTATATATCATGGCATTTGTAACTAGTACAGTAATAATTTGGGATATGTGTATTTATAGGTATGTATACTGACCATTTTTCTTTGGTATTATTGTAATATAAACAGCTCTTTAGTGTGTCCTGAAGTTCAGTATGGTAAGAACGGATCATTTACAAGAAAAATATTAGGATACTTTCAGAATTCTAAGAGGTAGAGCCTAACCAGGAGTCCTTAGGTCTTTAAACATGTATCCTGATTGGGACTGTGAAAGTCTAATCCACTACTTTCTCCTCTTTTCAATCCTAGTCATTTAGTGAAAAATCGCATTAGCATGTGCTGCCTGAACCAAAGTAACTGATGGCCTAAATCAGGGTCTCAATCCTTAAAACTACAATAATATAAATGCTTATATTGTTATATATGAAGAATCTGGATCATACAGTAGATCTGCTTCTGATTTTTTTATGTATACATACTAGATTATGTTATTGGATATTTTGTTTACATTTCAAACATCGTCCCTCTTGCTGTTTTCCCCTCTGCAAGTCCTCTATCCCATTCCCTTTCCCGCTGCCTCTATGAGGGTGCTCCCCACCACCAATTTCCACTTCACTGTTCTAGCATCCCCCTATGCTGGGCCATTGAGCCTCCACTGGACCATTGATGCCAGATAAGGCAATCCTCTGCTACATCTGTGGCTGGAACCACGAGGTCCGTCCTTTTGTATTCTTTGATTGGTGGTTTAGTCACTGGGAGCTCTGGTATGTCTGGTTAGTTGATATTGTCGTTATTCTTATAGGGTTGCAATCCTCTTCATCTCCTTAAGTCCTTCCCCCAACTCTTCCCTTGGGGTCTGCTTGATCAGTCTGATGGTTGGCTGTGAGCATTCACATCAGTATTGACCAGGCTCTGGCAGAGTCTTTTGGGGAACCGCTATACCAGGATCCTGTCAGCAAGTGCTTCTTGGCATCAGTCATAATGTCTGGGTTTGGTGTCTGCAGAACGGATGTATTCTTAGGTGGGAAGTTTCTGCACATCGTTTTCTTCAGTCTTTGTTCCACTTAGGCCCTGTGTTTGATTTAGACAGAAACAATTCTGGGTTAAAAATTTTGAGATGGTTGGGAGGCCCCATCTTTCAACCGGAGTCATGCCTATCCACTGGTATGGTCTCTACAGGTTCTAACTCCCGTGTTGGGTTTTTAGTGATGTCATTCTCATTAGGTCTTGGGAAAACTCTTGCTTCCCCTGAATCTGGGACTTTCTAGTGGCTAGACCCAGTTCCAAATCCACTACTGCTATGTACCTCCTTTCAGTTTCCTGACCCTCCGAATTTCTCCTCTGTCTCTTCCCACACATGGTCCTTTTATCCTCCCTTTCCACTCAGCATCTCAAATCCCTCCCTCCCTCTACTTCCCACAATCATTTTATTCCTTCTTCTGAGTAGGACTGAAGCATCCAAACTTTGGTCTTCCTTCTTCTTGAGCTTCATATGGTCTGTGAGTTGTATCGTGCATATTCCAAGCTTTTGGGCTAGCATTCACATATCAGTAAGTATATACCATGTGTGTTCTTTTGTGACTGGGTTACTTCACTCAGGATAGTATTTTCTAGTTTCATCTATTTTCTGGTAATTTGATGAAGGCATTGTTTTTAATAGCTGTGTAGTATTCCATTGTATAAACATATCACATTTTCTGTATCCCATTCCTCACCTGGTTGTTTCCAGATTCTTGCTGTTATAAATAAAGCTGCTATAAACATAGTGAAGCAAGTGCACTTGTTATATGTTGGAGCATCTTTTGGGTATATGCCCAGTAGTGG